CATTATATGGAAAATCTTAAAATTTTTATAATATTATAATATTTTACTACATATTAAATATTCAAATAGCATTATATAATATTCTAATAAAACGGTTAAAATATTATAATCATATACTAAAATTGTTAGAATATTCTTTATATTCTATTAGAATTATACACATAAAAATATGTAAGAATATTTCTCTCACACACATATATATATATATATATATATATATATATATATATATATATATATATAAATGATAACTTGTTTTATTTTTTAATTTTCTTTTGAATATAAAAAATGACAAACTTAATATTTAAAAAAAAAATAAAATTTTCATTTATTTTGCATTTTAGAATTTCCTTTTTATTTTTTGATTTTAAAAATGAGTGGTTATGATTGCGTCTTCATGTCTCACAAAAAAAATGGTCTAAAATGAATATATAAATATATATATATATATATATATATATATATAATATATATATATATATATATATATATATATATATCCTTTAACTTTTTTTTGTAATTATCCTTCTACCCGTGTAAAATGATGACAAAGTGTATTAAAATATTATTAATTTTATCAAAATGTGACATTTGTCGTCATTTTATATGGGTAGAAAGATAAATAGGAAAAAATTAGGAGGATATTTGATTACATATATATATATATATATATATATATATATATATATATATATATATATATATAGGTTTCGGATTATGTATGTGTTGTGTCTAAGTCTTATTGCGAAAGCTTTCATAATTGTATCTTAGTCTATAGTAATTTGGTTTAGAGTTTGTACACCTTAGGTTTCATAGTGAATGTTACGTAATTGTTAGACAGAGTGTCTATTGAGAGAAAAACTTTTGAGAAACACTTAAACAAATGTTAGTACAAATTATATATTGCGGAATGAAGTTAATCTCAAAGGATCATTAAGCTCAACAATAATAAGAAGTTAAGATTGTTAGAGTTGTTAACTGCGGAAATGTAATTGCGAAAAGTAAAGGAAATGTAAATGATAACAAGTTATATATCTAGTAAACACTAAGCTGATTCTTAACAAGGTTTGCATTCAAACCAAGTTAATATATGTGACCAGCTTAAAGTGAATGAAGTCATAAGGACTTGCTCCGAAGGAGATATGAGAGTTTGATCTTAATATGTTTGGGAGTAAGTTCAGTAAGATCTTGAGAATAAGAAGATAGGAATTCAGAGAGAAATTCAGATATTAAGAGAATGGAGATGTGTGTTCATTCATGAATTTGAGTACTCTATTTATAGAGACTCGAGAACATACATAGAAAATAAACAAAGACTAAACATCTGATTCGCAGTGACTATGAATGCTCACTGGATAATACAATGTAAATAAGTAAGTTAAAAATAAATAAGCTAGTCTTTGTTGCGGATGAGGATACCGCGGATGACTTTTTCAAAGAGATTGCGGATTACTTCTACACTTGAAGTTGCGATAGCAAAAGACTAGACTGAAGAGATAATCTGCTGCGGTAGAAGAGTTGAATACGGATGACTTCGGATGACAAGTTTAAGAGGGTCACTTTCTTGATTCAACAGTGTCACTGCCTAGGTGTCGTAACCTTATTGGTTATTATCTAACCGACTTCCTTTTTGTCACTCTTTAAATATGGATGTTAGTTAGAAAGTAGAGTAAGCTTTTTGCACGTTCTTACATACAATGTTGTAATCAAACCTTTTTACTCTATATTGACATAGAAATATTATTTACTCTCTTGTGTGAACTTTACTTTTATTCTTTCTTTCATAATCATGATTTCAATCATATCGAACTAGTCTCTCGATCAAAAAAGTGGTATCATAGCAGGAAATCTTTGAGTTGAATTCAGATTGTTGAGTTTTTATTGTTCGTCGAGTCTCTCATTCGTCATTTTGATTTTTCCAGATGGCTTCCGCATTTGCAATTTGTTTGTAATTTGATATGGAAATTCTTGTTCCAA